TTATCGTTTCGATTCCTCTTACTATCATCCAAACATCTCTCAAAAAAATGAATGAATTCAACTCAATATAAATCATAATACAGTATATGTAAATATGCCCAAATAGATCGTCCTTCCTTCCTGACATGTAAACGAATACCATGGATGCTCCCACATATCAGACAATGTGAACCAAATCATGGTCGCCACGGGAGATCCAACGGCGCCATAATTACAGTAATTATTTTATTTTGTAACCTACAAAGGACGTAGATGTGAAATTATTGCTATATGATCAGTGTCCACATTGTTTTTACCCAGTTACTTCTCCCTTATCTCACACCCTGCCCACTAATAAGTAATTTATGATTGAAGAATAGGCTAAAAATCGAAAAAAATATTCTGAGGTTGCCACCTCAATTTTATGGGTGCTGGATAACTCGTACCCAATTTATGAGATAGTTCGTACCAACCAAGTATACAATATATAGATGGGGGTCCAAAGTAATTAGGTAAGGTTGTCAGGTTTTGTGCACTGTCATACCAGGTATCAATTTTATTATTTAGGATCATGCAAATAACCTTAAGAAGCTTTGGTGAAATTCTGAAAGTTCGTTCTGATAATTACCGTTTCCTCCACCTTTACCCAATGGGACTACCAATTGCCAATAAATTTGAGTGTACATTTCTCAATTCATTTCTGCTGAAATAAAATGCAATATTTTCAGATTTTGGTTTTATGTACAGTATACAGTATTGCAATTTCAACTAAAGTGGCTATCAAGTTGAGCAATGTGTCGCTTATTATTTAATTACAAGCAAATGTAGGGTTCAGAAGATAACTCCACAAGATCTATTCATTTGTTAAGTAAAAGACCTTTGGCTGCATATTGGTAGAAAATGCAACAATACCAAGGTCCTCATTCTAGGTGAGGTTTGTTTTTGAGTTGAGCAAAGTATTTTTCCCATGAATTTTTTTTTTATTATTATTAAATTATTTTTGTTGGAAATCATTTTTGGGTAGTGCCATATTGGTTGAAAATACAAATTTACCCTATTTTTTTAGTGGTGTACCTCCAACTCGGCCCACCTTGCACGCTTCAAACAAGTAGCTGACTAGAGGTTCTGGAATGAGTCTAAGAGATATGTTTTAGGTCTCTTTTGGTTCAATGAAATACGAAGAGAGTGAATGAGTGAATACCAGGGGTTCAATCGGCATGAAGGACGAATTTTATGAGTTTTGTTAGTAGAACTTGATCAGCAAACCATGATTCACATTCGTAACTTGTGCTTCTCCAGGTGATTTCGAATAGGGTTTGAAATTATTGCTTCCAGCAATTTGCGTACAATTGATGTTAAACTGATTGGACAGGAGTTAGAGGATAGTGATCTATCTCCCTTCTTGAATATCGGTATCACATTCCCTAAGGGAATAGTAAGCTCTTCCTTACATTCCTTAATACTCTGGCAAATATCTCATTGGGACCTGGTGATTTATTTGACATTAGTTGGTCTATTTGCTTACTAACATCGTTACTAGTCACTACTATCTCACTTGATCTACTTTCTTCACTATCTGTATATAGTCGAAGCGTCGGGTATCACGTTTAAATTTTCGGTGCTGAAAACTGATAAAAATACCTGTTCAGATTATTGCTAATTTCTCCGTCATTATCAGTCAGCTTGCCGGTATTGGTCCAATCTGGTCTCGTTTTAGTTTGATACATTTGATAGAATCCCTTGGGGTTTGACTTTGCCTCCCTTGCTACCTTCACTTCATTATTCCTCTTTGCTTTTCTTATCTTGGTCTTAACCTTACTGGCCAATACCTTATAATAATCTCGGAGGTAAACTTCACGATTTATTATCCTTCCTTTTGCCAATAATATTCTTAAAATAATTATTTATCCATTTGGGGTCATTGTTATTTGATCTGAGTTTTCTGTATGGTATGTTCAGCCTTTGTGCATTAAGGAACTCATTATTTAAATTGTTGTGGAACTCGCCAACCTCAAATCTCGTGATCAGGTCATCCTCAACAGTCATTTTGTGAGGGTGTCGTTGTGAGGACTCCAGGTAAAGTGATCTTAATTGTGAACAAAATAGACAATATAAAATTATATATAAAAGAAAAAAGATCACCTCTTCCACATACTGTATGTACAAACCCATTCCCCCCCTCCCCTTACAATCTATGATGCTTTTTATCATTCATGTTAAAAAATTTTAACTTTTACTTTTTAGTCCGAGTTGGTTAACCTAAGTGGTCCGAGATGGTATGAGTTGGACTGTAACCTTTTTTAGTTCACCAAAGTATCATGCTTTAATCTCTAGGCTAAATCCAACTGTCCTTACTCCAGGGCTGGATTTGCATTTTTGTTATTATACTTTAGGACAGCGATTCCCAAATAGGGGTAAATTACCCCACTGGGGGTAATTTCGCATTCAACGGGGGTAACGACAGCCTTTAGGAAAGTTTAGGTTTAAGGAAAAAACATTAAATACAGACACACAAATATTCACATGTATCATTATTAACAATGATTTAAATCTCCGCGTATGTCCAGTAGCACTCACCACCGCCAATCCATTGCCTCAGAGAAGGGAGGGGGTGGGGTGGTATGACAGAGGGCGGGGCAAGAAATAGGGAAACATAACTTTTATTCATAACTTGTCAGAGGAAGACGGACGTACATGATAGTCTGGCATTTTTGAGCAAAAAGGTAAATATGGCATTTTTTGACGATATCTTACGTAATGCTATATTTACTCAAGAAGTAATTTTTCTGTTGCCTTTACTGTACTTTTGTCTCATTCCATTTATAGTTCAGAATAAACCAATATACATATATTCGTCTCTCTCTCTCTGTGTGTGTGTGTGTGTGTGTGTGTGTGTGTGTGTGTGTGTGTGTGCAGGTCAGTATTCTCGTTTGTTTTATAATTCGTCTCTTTGACTGTTACCTTGTTCATTCATCTGTAGATGAATAATTGGGAAAGTGGGTTGAATTTTATGTGCAGGCATAGAAGTTATGTTCTGATTTATACAAGCGAATTTATTGTTTTTTGTGATGAAATTTGAACATATATTCGTATGTGTTATTTTATTTTATTTCCCTTTTATTTTTCTCTCCCTCATATGTTTCTGTCTGTAAGTCTGTACTTCTTTTTACAGCTGTCCTCAAGAAAGCGTGTGTATTCCGAGGCTTTTCTGGAGCTTGGGTTCACTGTAGGCCTGCTATTATTATTTGATTTATTTATTTCAGAGAGTATTTGTACTTATTGTACTTTGCAATTATTGTTTTATTTATTTCAATAGCAGTGAAAGTGTCATTGCACTCCTGAAATTAATAATTGATTTATTTCCAACAGAAAGAGTAATTGTAATTCCTGCATTTATGTCATTATTGTTCTATAAAATACAGGAAAGTCCAACCTAATAAAGTTATATTTATTGCACATTAGCGTGTAACTAATAATAACAAAATGTTGTGGGGTAATGAGCTTGTTGCTAAGCATGATTTTGGAAAAATTGGGGTAATGGCCAAAAGTAATTGGGAACCGCTGCTTTAGGACATAGCACACCCGAAAGTTTAAACTACTGAAACATTTAGTTCTCCATATTCTGAGCATTTTGAACCCCATATATACATGGCGGAAACGGATAATAGCGGCAATTGAATTTAATTGATTTTACGTAGTTTTCAGTCTTTGTCTATGCGAGGAGATGTTGTCGGCACACCACGCATATGCAATATTGACCGACGTCATCCAGTCGTGACCAATGATGTATCGATATCATCGCGCGAATTTTTTTGGGCCAATCACATTTGATTTTTTTTTCAAAGGAAACATCCTGGGTATGATTTTATTTTCATTGACCAGTCTCACAATGGCCGTGGTGGAGGTTGGTTGTCTTTTGTGAGCCTACTATTATTTTAAGTTTATTGCAGAGTTTCACGAGAAAGACGACGATTCTATCCAATTCTTACGTATCCCTGGTCCTTCCACTTCTAACTATGGCATTGTACTTTCGGACATGGCGCGCCCAGTGTTTTAAACTACCGGGTTAGGTTAGGTTTTGTTAGGTTAGAGGACTAGTTCTTGTTTTCTCCCCCACCCAAAAACCCCGATTTCCCAGGCTCTCCTCCATTGTCGATGGGTGGGACAAGCAATTTCCGCCAAAAATAAAGGTCAGATTCGTTTAAAACACAGTGGAAAAACATATTGGTCAACCCTGAGGGACTCCTAAAGTAAAAAATTTCCGCATTTTTAAAGATAATCCCTAAGAAAACTCGACAATATGACAGGTATTTTTTTTTTAATTTTCACTAATATATTTACCCGACTTTCAAAAGTTAAAAATAAATTTCCTCTAACAAAATCTGAAGAAAATAGAAGACTACATAAGGAAAGCCCAGAATTGCCCAATTTGCTATCCATCAGATATTAAGATTTATATGAAGCCTTTATTCTACAAGCCAGTTGGTCCCATCTTAGATACCGTATATTATTGGAAATTCTCATCACGTCTAGATATCCACGGCTTTTATTATAATCCAAATGTTTTGAAATATGCAACAACAAACGCTTCCCCTGACAGACAAAGGCAGCTTTTGAACCATAATGTCTGACACGAGATTCTCACCCAACAAGCTGTGGTGGAATCCATTTTGTTTTCCCCCACAGGAATATCGAATCCTATACTTATGTCCACACAGCTACGAGATAAACCTTTTATAAACTCTTGAAATTATATAAAAGTTAATCTCGTGATGAAATAAATTAACTTCATGCTGGATTAACGGGTGCAACAAAGGACTTAAAAAATTGGAAACGATATTCTGTATAAAACATGGATGGCGTCGTTTGCAAATATCAATAACCTAAAATTAAAACCTGAAAAGTTTGAAACATACATTAATTATACACAATGGAAATATAATATCAATGGTTAGTAATTATTCCAGAAGGAAACTATAGATAAAACAAAAGAATTAAAAGTTTGGTGGAGAAGCGCTTACTTGGTAATGGCTGCCCCCTGGCCCTCCATCCTTGATCCCAGCCTCTGCGCCATTCAACACGCCTAAACAACTAAACTAACAACGTAAGCACTGTGTCGTACACTTAAAAACACTTGAATGAGAATTAACTAGGTGGGAGATGGAACTTGCCTGAAGGAAACATGCACTTCTTAGAGAAAATGCGTATATGGACTCAAAAGAGCTAGACAGACGAAGCTTGCTTGGTGAGCGCACACTTGCAAAGACGCGTAGTGGTGGGCGAGGCGACGCTCATCACCGCCGACCTCTGGCAACCGTCACCAGTTAATACTATCACTAGATGGCGATAATAATGATCTTTTATTCACTTAATGCATTAATTGAGGAGATGAGCACAGTCCAATACATGATACCGTAAAAAGAAAGTACTTTTATTTGTAATATCGATCATAGTTAAAATATATGTGTGCATTTACGTTCTGGTAGTATCTATAAAATTCTAAAGTTTAAATACAAATAAAAATTATAAAATTTTGCATGTATTATTCAGGATAAATGTACACTATACGTAGCATGTGCTCCAAAAAAAGTAAAGTCAAGCATTTCTTGTAATCATAATAAAATAGCAGCAAGGGAGGGAAGGATGAAGGTAACACCACCCAAGGGCTAAATTCGACTTGTGTTGCGCAGGAGTCGTAGATCACACCATAACGTTATCTGGTGATTTACAGCAACGTTAGAGACCGTTATTGTAATGTTATTGTTATGTAATGTTATTGTTTTCCAAGTCCAACTAGTGTTCATCAAAATTTTGTAAACACACTCAGAGGATACAAGGAAGATAAAGGATAAAAGTAAGTTCTGGTTAAAACAGATACAAATGAAAGAAACCGGGAATCTTTCATTTTCGTTTATTTTTTATTTTTTTCCTATACAGGACAGTATATTCAGAAAACCACAAGATAAATTTGTTTTAACTGTGTTCTCAATATTTTTTTAGACTATAAATAGATCTTTTGATATTGTTCAGTTCTTATTCCATTTTTTTTATTATACAAGTAGACTGAAGACGGTACCGTATTCCGATTTATTCAAACACTTGCCAATTGTCACTAATCAATGGTCTGGAAGAAATTTTGCCTGCTGAATGGAAAACGTTTTGGTTTGCATAGAATCATAGCCCATTGGTCTTAAGTAAATTCCTTGCTGTAGTGCTGTACAGGGGCGGATCCAGGAATATAAAAAGGGAGGGGGTGTCCAAGAGCTGAGTGGCTGGAGGACATGGCGAGCTCTCTCGGCCTTTTTTTTTGGGGGGGGGGGGTTGGCAGTAAGCCTCCCAGAATTATTTTTGAAATGTGACCAATATCTTGGACATCTTAAGGCCATTTTGAAGCTATGGCACTTCATATTAAAAGATATTCTGAGGCCAATAGTAATTAGTTTTTACTATACAAAAACGCCAGAGTACAATATTGCATTTACGAAAGAAGTATTGGAATTTTCTGATGAAAAGGGGGTCTAGACTTCCAGGAGCCCCCCTGGGCCCCTGCTGAACGTGAACGGGGGTTTAGTCACATGAACATAATTGCCATTGATAAAAGCAACTACAATATACTTATCGCACATACTGTGTACAGTATATCATTATTGTTCATTTACATGGTCCACCATTGCACTTTGGAAGCTAAGGTGTCATACTGAATGAATATAAGGAAATATTTCTTCAGAGAGAGGGTGGTAGACCTATGGAACAGTCTACCAGCTCAAGCTGTGGAAGCGAGAAATTTTTTTTGGTGTAAATCGCCACCGCCTCTGGACACAGGGTGTCAGTGAAGACAAAAGAAAAGGCACTGATAAGCATTTACTGTACCATTAATGTACAGTATACACTATAGGCACAATTTGCTTAACGAAACGTTACGAAATGCAATGCATGATGTAAAAAAAAAATTTTCAGCTAGAATATAATTTTCTGTATTCTAAAAATATTGAACAATAGCTTACAGTCCAAATACTCATTCCACATCACTTGAAAACAAATCCATTGCCTAATTTTTAACTTTAAAAATGAACCCTCTCCTGTTCCTCTTCACAGATAGCAGAGATGTAGCTTCAAACTGTACTATACTGCAGTGTAACCATTGACGGGACGCAGACATTCGACTGTATGTATAGCAACGTTCCAGAAGCTTGTTTAACATCGAATTAGGAGGAATGAGTTTGGTGTGCTTTTCTCTTATGTTCAATATAGTGAGTTGGAATTTGCATCCTCCCCCCAAGAGACTGTGCCCAGGGGCTAGTGACTCCCACTCATGCATACAGGTCAATTTTCCTTTTAATGAAAGATTACTGGAAACAAGAGCAGATACAGTACAGTACATTCAAACATATTCTTTTCATTTGTGTAAAAGATGTGCTCAGCTATGGTACTCTTATATAAAGTGGGTCCTATAAGCCAGACGGCCCATTTGGGTTGTGTGGATTTCGCACACTGTATACTAAGCCTTCAGTACTTAAGTTATCAGCCTGGCTAACATCGCACTCAACAACTTCCATTTCTCCAAATGTAAAGTTTGGTACTTCTGTATACTCATTTACAGCTGGGTGGACTGGCCTGGTTGTTCCAAAATTTTCTTTACCTCTATAATTTGTTTAATTTCTTATTACAAAATAATCGCGAGACAATGCAGCCTGAAAACCTGTAAGTGATCATGACTAACAAATGCATGTGTCAAAAATAGCTGTAAAATGTTGATGAACTTGAGACCACTACATTTTAACTCCTTCACTATGGGGATGCCAGGCAATTTCATTCAGCAAAGAGCACCATACATAAGGGGTTAATTGTTTAGCATTGTTCTTTTGACTAAAGTTAATTAAAACTATATTCACAAAATTAAATTTTTATTGAAAATTTAATGTTTATGCATGAATATCTTTCCTAACATGAAAAAGGTGTACAATATATGGATATCTGCAATCTAACCTCTAAATTTTTCTACTAGTTGCTGGCTTCAGCAATCATCTCGTTTCTTTATGTCACTGCACAAAGCACACAACATACTTTCACTTGTCTTGCTCATTCGTCTGTTTTCTATGTAAAATATACATTTTAAAACTTTGTCTATACCATAGTTTCTCTTGGTACAGTTAAAACATATTCCATTCTAAATATTCAGAGCCTGAAACTTCATATACCCCTCTAAATATAATTATTTAATATTTTTATGTTCTTTGGCAATCTTGTAGTTATTTCCAATGCAAATCATTGGCATCACCATTTGCACTTTATATCTTTATCCATAATAACTCCAAGGTTCTAAACAGTGTTGAATATACAGTAAACTGTCCCCAAGCAAGAAGTTTTGTCATCACTAGTGCTTGGCCACTAAGGCTCACTGCAAAGTTTGGACCTTCCGAAGAGCCAGGTTTTAATTTAATTTTTCTTTTCACATAAACAGTACTACTGTACAAGTAATTAATCTCTACAGTTATTTTGCCTCAGGTTATACAACATATTCATTGGCAAGGTTCTCTTCCACTTCAGTACTGAAGATGGATTTAAAATAAAAGGTTAACCCACATGGGTTTTAAATAAAAATTATTTTTAAATAAATAAAAATCATTTTAATAGACCTCTGTGATTGTGTAAACCCTCCAGAAGATTTAAAAAATACTGTACTATAACCGTTAACACGCTGCCTATAATTGTAGTAGATATAGCTGTTGTATGGACATGCAATTTCTTTGTTAATGTAGGGTTTTTACATAAGGTTTGATGTAAAAAATTTATATAATTAATATTTGTAATTTTCAAATACAGCACACCTCCATTCAGTCACTACACATAAAAAATATCTACTCAGCACTCACACCTGAGTTTGTAATAAAACAAGAGTAAGAATTGTGGAACTTCATTGTTCACAAAACTTATGAAAAACAATCCATACCTTTCATTTTAATTTGTACTTACAAGCTTACAAATGTTATAATTATTATCTTTAAGGAATTGTAATTGAAAGGTATGACATACTATTATCATTCATCCATTCTCACCTTATAAAAACTGGATAACCGTAAAATGCAAAGTAATATGAACCCTACTTAAGTCTTAAGATGGAACTGAATGAACTAGAAGTTAGTACAATGTGTGTAAATGACATTCACAATACTAAGGATCCAAGTGACCTTTATTAAAAAGTCAAGTGTTGAATGATAAACAAAGAAATATACATTTATAAAATGAAATTAGGTTTTATGATAACTGTAAATTGACAACAAATTATTGTCAATCTTGAAGAGTGATCATAAAGTTTCTCATAGCTAGGCATGGTGAGAAAATATGTTCCGTCACAGGTAGCTTCTTCATGAGCTCCTCCAACACAGCAACTTCTACGTATAAATTCCCAAGTCTTTCTGAAGGCAAGCTACTGTCTTCATCTTCACTTGTATCTGAAATGAAATCATAAAAAGTAAATTAAATCCAAAGTATTTACCAATAAACATTATTACTTTCCCACCATCTCCACACAGCCCTCTCTCTAACCATGACTAGACACTCAAACTAAATACTGTACCTCTCACCCACTCATACATACTACCAGTATTTCATTCTTGCTTCACTGTAACTGCATGATCTGGCCATCCATCATCATAATACTCTTGACCTTTCATACTTTAATGTCTTGACATTAAAAACTTTATATTCTCTTAATGATTTACACCATTCAAAAAGTTGAGCAACACTACTTCTCTCCCTATTAATTATTGACCTCCACACACACAGTTTGAGAAGAACAAACTCTTGTCGTACTACAGTACGTACTGTATTTAGTTTTCTGGTACTGCTTTTTACATTACCCAATAACCTTTGAATAGCTTAAGTTCTTACCATTGTGCCCTCAATTTCCATCTTGTAATAAACAGAAACATACATCATTTGTTTTACAAAATAATGATTAATACATTTTTTATAAATATTGTACATGCTGGTTTTACTCAGTTCCCACCGCCCTACAGATTAATGGGAATAAGGCTTGCAAGATTAAATCTTTCAATAAGAAAGTGAGTGCCCCTGTACATGTACAGTACATTATACTGTATCAAAAACATAACAAAATCATTATGTAGTAGAAACAGACTGAAGAATGATCGTATATAAATCGGCTATTTAACTGAAAAACATAAAAAATTTAATCACAGCATCGTTAGGTGTACCAAGAACATCAGAAGGGCCCAAGCATCAATCACCAGCCATTAACACAGCAATCATGGGTCAATCAGGGTGTGTCTAGAGTTAGTCTGTTCACAAGCCATATGTGAACACTTCTTGTTGCAAATGCAGTATCTGACCTTGATGTGCAGTATTTTGTGCTAAACTAATAACATGGAGTTGATAAAAAAAGGTATATTAAAATCAGTAAAGGGCACACCCAGTCTTAGAAGTGATCTTTACATACAACAATGGAGTGTCATCAGCAAAGCCTACAATACTGTACTGTACAGTAAGGGGCATTTTATTTTTGAGCATTAAAGAACAATTAAGATTCATAAGAGAAAATTTATAAAGCAAGTTTCTTTGTCATATCACATTCTCCCCTGAAAAATGCCTGGATAATTGAATATGATGTAATACTTAACAAGGAGATACCATGGTGACTTGTTAATGCACCTTGTTACAAAATTTCCCTTTTCACGGCCTACTTTTTTCACACAACTTCACTTGTATAAAAGTAATAAAATAAATAAAATAAGCAAACAAATTCACAGAAATAATATATTTCCAATTATGATGATTTTGTTAGGAAAATTCTAAGCCTCAATCACCATTCCAACAATGGGAGTTAGGTTAAACAATTCAATAAAATAATTTTCTTTCATACATGGTCAAAATATCTCATTATCTTCACATTTTTTAAATGAATCCATTTTCTTTACAATTTCATGATAGCAAATGTTTAGAAATTTTAAAATAATAAAAATAGTGCGAGTTCTTGTTCTTTTAGCTTCTGTGTTGTTTTGTCTGCTATTTGTTCTACTAGTTGTCATGTTTTATCACAATTTCTACTATTTCTTATGTTGTGGTTAGTAATATTCAGTATTTTGGTTACAGGGCTAGACATGTACTTACATTATAACTATTCTAGATTACACACACAAAAGATAGTAATAAAATAACACAAGTGGAAATAAACTGTTGTTGACCCAAATTTGTTGTCCCACATAACTTAAGAATCTTGAGTACATTTGACTGCCTTCAATGGAGTGCAGGCATTGAACCTTCTGAATCTGCTAGTTCCCGCCATATATATAAATCCTTAACAATAAGTTATATATACACACACACACACAGATACCAGTATAAGGTACATTATTCAACATATTGGCTATGAAGAAAGGCTTAATACAGCACCGAACAGAAGTTATGATAATTACTATTCAATCACCTTTCCTAGAATACTGATTTATTAATAAGTGGATGCTCAGATACACAAAATAACCCAAAGAAAGAAAGAAAGAAAGAAAGAAAGAAAGAAAGAAAGAGTAACTTTACTTTCAAAACTATAAAATTTACACATGCCGATTATTATTATTAAAGAACAATGTCACCCTCTAGGATATATATTTCTCAATACAGTAAATTCTGAATGAGATACAAGTTAAGAAAGGATAGAGATGCACACAAGAAAACAAAACCAGGCAATTTACATGACTGGCAGCATTTAAGGCCTACAACCATTCACTACAAACAAAAGCATCACAGAGTATCACATGCCAGGTGTCACATTTAACCTTTGACGCTGACACACAAAATTGTTTCTCGGTGATTCATCAAGTGACAACACACGCTTAAGTCAGGTTTCATCAATGCATGACAAGTTATTTGTAGAGTTGTGTTCGAAACAAAGTAAGGTTTACAGACACTCGCAACACAATGCAACTAGTTCTCTGTTATACATGAATTTATCAGCTGGGATCAAATAACCCGTTATATAAAATTTAGAACACAATTTCTTGAAGAGTTTGTGCAAGTTTCCCCTTAAATAGTTAGTAAAGAAGAAAAGGTCTGAGCAGTTGGTTCAGTTTGTTGGTGGTACTTGAATTCAGTTTACGGTTGTCACGGCCATACAGTATTTTAACTATACAGTACAGTACAAGTATTCAGCCGCTTTTTAATATAGAGAAGCACAATGATTGCATTGTCAATATTAGGACAAGACTAGTCACTGTTGGGAGGGGTTACCCAAGAGATTGTGCATAATGAAGGGTGGGATGAAAGAATCAGACTTCAAAACTATCAAGGACAGCTTCATATATTTCTCTGTGAAAATGCTTCAGGTGATGAAGTTAAATCCAGTGTTTTGGTATGCTAGTACTAATGCTTACATGGCAGCAAATTTATCTGAGCAATGATTTTCAGTGTGCAAATGTACCATTGTTTCCTTCAAGAATCATTTCAAAAGGTATGATAGGAAACCAAGATCAATCAAACAGCCATTAGAAAAAGGAATTCTCTTAATCCTTTCACCAGCCAATGATGCTATTTACATCACCATGCGAGATGTCTCCCATGACACCGAGTGCTTACACTGGTGCGTAAGATATCTCTCCACAGTACATGAAGACATATCAATATGAGGATCAATGAAATCCTTTTCCTTTACCAAATTTCTTAACCCTATTGACACCTTCTCCCCTACCACTACAGTTGCCGCTGCCTCCTTCGCCAACATCGTGGCTACTGACATCCTGTACTGTACTTCATCATGTACTAAGCCTAAGTCAACATCCTCAAATTGACCTCCACCATATTCAGATACAAATAATACACAAAACAGACAATAGAAGATCCTCATCTTCAATATCAATGGCATCACCATGAAGGAGCCAACCAGTGAAGCATCAAAGGCCTACGTAAGAGTGGATGATAATGCAAGCAGGAAATTACTTGCTTCATTAGTGTCCATAGTTTATTTCTATTATTTTAAATATCCAAGTGGCTGTGCAGTTCAACTAGATAGTGTTTACCCCACAGGCAAGTCACCAATTTGATTCCCAACTTGAGAAAACAACTGTGTTCCCTATGCGTACACAAGCCAAGTGCATTAAGCAATAGAATGATACATTATCCAGGTGGGCTTCCTGATGATGGAGCAATCCTTGGATAGATTAGTATCCTGCCAAGAGGATGGGAGTAAACCAGAAGCTGCTGATGCAAGGATTCAAAAGATCAGTACCACTAAGCCAAGCTGCATCATAGCAGGAGCAGGCTTATATAAATTACTGTTTTTAATGTTATACAGCATAATTTTCCAACACTGTACATAATATTGGAATCTTAGTACTGAACTTTCATATTAGTTAATCACGTCTTTCCTATCAGTAATCCACCTCAAGTAAGAGTAATTATGATTATCTTAGGACCTCATGTAAAACAGAGGACAAGTTGCATGCCAGTCTTCAATGAGCAGAGAATAGTGAATTTAACAGGAAATCCCATGTGTCTATTTACCAAGAATCCTCTGATGGGTACAAACCTTCCTATGATCGTGATCGGGAACGTCTTCTGAAGTCTGGAGAGTCACTTCGTCGGCGGTAATCATCATACCTAATAATAGGTATTTGGTAATTATATGAATTTTAAAACAAGATAATTCATTTTTTTTACAAAGAAAGATCTTCGTTAATGTAAATTGTGTATCACCTTACGTCAATGTTGAATCATCAGCAGAGATACTCTAAGAATAGTTAGAACACTACAGAGTGAACTCTACACCTTAAAGTACATGGTTAATTGGCTTTTATGGTATATTAAAGTTGAACATTGTAAAAGCAAGAAATGTTAAGAGTTGTTTGAAAAACAAAAAAATAAACAAAAAATAAACATGTCCCTACAAAGTTACAAAACAATAAAGGTAAAAAAGTGTGAACATGACCCATAACAAACTACACATATCCACTAACAATATAAAATATTTATGCCAAATTTCTGAGATTTCGTAGTAGTATACTGTACTGATGAACTATAAGAGGTGATTTCACTTTGTGTAAACTTATATCCATCATGATTTGAGCACCCCAATATTAGAAAGAAGCATAATTACTACTCCATAAAATGATTACAGGAGTTATGAGTTCATTGTAACCCCACAGCTCAGTATGCAACCTAGTTATAACAGAAGAGCCTTCCTAGCAGAGTACAACCCCAGACTCCCTTATGACAGATGGTGATACTGTCTACTGTACTATATCACCAAATCCTGGCAACCATCATGTGGCCAACACAAATCAGGGGAACATGTTTCTAGAAAAGTAAGACTCAGAATATCCTCTTGCTCTGAAGTGTGACAAAATGCAAGTCATATATGTGTGAATTGAGTAAAGTACTGTACCGAAACAATACTAGATAAATAATATATACTATTTAATGTAGGAGATACAGGCAAGAGGTTGGTGTTAATGGGATGTTGCATGAGGCAGTATATAAATATTGTCAACCAATTAGACAACACTACAGTATATTCTAATATTAGTAAATCAGATATAGATAACTACCACTAAGTGGTGTATGTGTGTAAAATTAGAAGATTTCCAGAAAACAGCTGTTTGGAAAAGGTGAATGGGGTTCAGAGTACTGGTAGAGTACAAATGAAATGATTATCTGTGGGAGTATAATGTGCAAACCTTTGTGTTATGCTACAGGGATTTCACTAAGTCTATCTTGTAAACTTAAATTAGACAAACCAGCAAGTAAACAGTCTTGTAATATTTGACCCCAAAAAATTAAGGGTTAGGCCTATGAGGGTTAAGAGAGCTTGAGCTTGATTACTTCAAACAATTACAAAAACTTTGTAATGTAACAAAGCAAATACAAAATATTCATTACAGTATCATCTAATAAAAACCCACACTCAAAAGTCCTAAGTAACAGTGCAAAAACAGACTTTGTGCAAGCTTCACCTTGTATACTGTTTGCATAAGCTTAAAAAATGTTTTGTTACCAAAAATTACAAATATATCCATCTCTATATGACCAACTACACACATCTTAAATATTGCTTTACTGTCTTCCACTTTCTGGGAGCAGCATTTTCCAGGAAGAAAGGTTAGTTCCCCATGGAACTCCTTTGAAGAGAATAGCTCACTGCACATACTATGAAAGAACATCGTACAACCATGCCTGGCAATGAAGTCAAACTTGTAACTTGTGTTTCAAGAGTAGTGTGTTACCTATATAAAGGCATTCTTTAAATACACTATAGGAATAACGGAGCATTAAAAGACCTTGGCAGGCCTAAAACCTGACAAAATACTGATATTTCACAATGAAAATAGCACAATATTTTTAACTGACAATTAAATAATTGACTTCAGAAATCTACATGATTAAGGTCATTGCGGTCATGGATTTGTGAACATCTAGTAATCTACTAACAAGAACAGTGTGCAGATGAAGGCTAGAACAGAAAAGGAAACTGTCATGGGGTACACTTGCAGGGATAAAAATTTCTGAATCCACCATAACTGATTTGATTTTTTTGTGCCAAAGTAAATTTTTTGCCCATTACAATTAAAGACTCATAAGCTTCAAAGGTTTTATGGGTTTACTGCCTTTTGCAAATTTACTGATAATAAGCAACACTGGTATTTACAAGGCATCAGTTTATTGAGTACAACAGACCTTGATTAGTACTTTAACTCTTTTTTCTTTGTCACTGGAGTTCTCTGTTCAATGTAAACACTGTAGAACCTCTTTAAGACTGACTCTTGGGCAAACATGTGAATTTTGCAAACCAAGTCTGAATTATAACATGGGTGCAACAGACCTCGAGTCACTGAACGTAAAATATTAGGCAAGTATAATGCTTCTATTTGGACCCAAAGGCCAAAAGCCAAAATTTTTCTCAAACATACTACACTTTGATACAAACAAAATACCAAGACCACACAAACATTTACAGGTTGAAATACAAGCTAAATTGCAATGTGTGCTCACCATCCAGAACAAATAAGCCTCACCCAAAGAATAAGCTATCTGAATAGTTTATCCCATGACATTACTATTCAGTTTATACATGATAATAATTTTCTGTCACAATGAGTATAACAGCTTGTAAGCTGTCTTTGCCTAAATATTAACCTTTAACAATTACTATCTAACCACCAAATCTACTATCCTATGAGAAATATAATATTAATTATAAAGGAAATCTACTTTAAAAACAGTACATTTACTGTACATAATTGTGCTTTACTGTTTTTGTGTGTGTAATGTGACTTTAACATGCCACAGGCCTCCAAAACTAAGACAAACAGCACCCAACTTTGACTGGGATGGGGAGGGCAGAGACTAATTTGACAGCAGAGGGCCAGTCTTGATTGTTTGTTATTTCTGAGAATGTGTCAAATTTGATTACCTAATTAGTGCAAAAATTGGTAGTACTCTATTCATTATAATAATGCTACTGATAGTGTTGTGTTTACACGTAAAATAAAATACTAAATATAAAATACATACCGTGAATCTGTGCAAGGTATTTAATGTACTTGCAGTGCTTCGAACATACATATACCAACAACTACAGTGTACAGTAGTGCATTATTATTGTTTGCCATTTTTATTAAACTTCACAAAATGCCTCTTCCCTTGAAATTTTATTGGGCAAATTTCTGTTACTGAACAGTTACAATTGGGGAAGTTTGCACAAAATTAATAATAATCATAATAATAATAACTTGCATGCAGGTTTTGGAAAATTTGCTACATTATTATCTTTTTCATGAACATACCGGTAGGGGTTAGTGCTTCATGATGATAAGCTTCAACAACACATGATTCCCTAACATTGTTATTTCTAAATATAAAGATGGTGATTAAGACATGCTGAAGTTTGGTAAGTAGCAGTGTATGACAAGCCAAACATCTTGTTTTTCATTAACTTGATAAAAGTTAAATACTCAACATGTGTTGGATTAAGTCCTCAATGTTATGGGAAGTATCTTTGTTTTTCACTCACAAAATTTACAACTTTTCCTCAATACAATTATTATAGACTACAATTCCAACATTTATTTTCTATCATTACAATATTCCTTTTTCTAAAACTCAATGCAGATGAGGACAAACATCGACCATCTTTGTATATTCTGGCTACCAAGCACTTTCCCACTTTAGGAAGTTGCAACCTTATCATTAACCATTTGTTTTCATAATATAATAACAACAAAGATATAATAACAACAAAGATAAGTAAAACACAAGGAAACTGCTTCAGCAAGTACACTACAATTAAGATCATGCATAACTTGATAATCAAGGAGCATGGATATCCATCTTATATGAGGAGGGTAAGGAGTGGAGTAGTGTTTCAGGCATGAGTGAGTGCTCATTTAAAACGTTTGATAAAAAATATATTGATGTAGAGAAAATGCGAGGATCAGTAAATGCGTACTACACTTAAAGGAAGGGTTGAACAAGAAGCAAGCATCCATTACAATACCACCCACTTTTCAATACATAGCACCACGGCCACATCACAACCAATAATGCCCTACCAATTCATCCTGGCATTATGTTCAACCCTGTATTCTTTTGTCCCAAGATGATAATTATTAAGTGCCACTGTCCCAAATAATATATTTTAATGTAAATTGACTAATTCTTTCCTTAATTCTTTTGACTGAAGTTAATGAACTTGCTGTGGCAACCTTATTTCTTAAAGGCTTCTTTTCTTGCTAAAAACCAAAATTTAAATGTTGTATCAAAATGCAGGATTTATATTCTTTATCGCTAACTGTAGTTAAAAAGTTCAGGAGCCGTTTCAATCAGGGATGCACCGGAACTTAGTTCCAGCTGGTTACTTCTGGTTGGAACTTCAATTTTTATGAAGATTCGGTTCCAGCCGGAACTTTGGCAAAATAACCGGAACTTTTTATAGTGGCAGCACCGATTACTGTTTCATAAAGTATAATTTAATTAAGTGTTAATGCCTCTTATTTGTAATGGATAATGCAACTAAAAAGTACTGAATGCTTAGTGACTATTGATGTCGCAAAAATATCATTCCATCATAAATCATATTTATTGTATTGTATTGTAATGTACATGTCACCTGATGCATTTAATATATAGAAAATAAAACCCAAATATGCATAATTATAATGATGATAAACCTCTGATGTCCACTTTCAAAAAGGACAGAAAACATTAAACCAGAGAACCTGAAATACATTACACTGTATCTTCGATAAACTAAAACACCGAAAGTTTCGTTTCTGGCTGGAACATTTTAAAAGTATCTGCAAGTTCCGTTTCCAGTGCATCCCTAACTTCAATAAGATGGTACATTCCCAATGATAAATGAAAAACTGTGCATTAATTATACAGTTTAAGTATAAATTTTAAGTGCATCGCTGAACAAGCTAAGATAATCAGTAAGAAAAATGAAAGTTTGAGAGTTACAGTGCTTTAAGATAAATTTAACACATTCAGAACCTGAAGTATGATGACATTCACAAGAAAAGACTGACCCAAATAGACCATCACCAAAGATGCATGAAGCTTCACTATAAATGACAGAACACTACAACACAAGATGGCTAGCGTGGTTACCGCATGACACAGACCTTGGTGATCGTGAAACAGACCTGGGGGAGCGGGACCGTGAGCGTCTTGGTGACCTGGAACGAGAACGGCCAAACCTTCTGGGAGTGCGGGACCTGCAATAAGGAATGAGTTAACACTCACAATCTTTTGAGTATAAAAATCAAAAGTGTTATTGTTCTTGGAAGTGGCCACCTCCTTGAAATTGGAATACTGGTTTAATCAGAGCACTTTCCATTCCCTTTATTCAAATATCACTAATCACTACCATACATGAATCCCTGAAAAATGAGTGTGACTTGAATTAAACAAAATTCTGATTCCTTGAGTACATGATTGTGACCAGGGATTAGACCTGCCTCTGTCTGCGGTTATAAAGCAACACATTCTGTCAACTGTGCTGCCCTTTCATGGGACTTGTTTCAGTTGGCCAAGGTAAGAAGGAACCCAATACCATCATACTTGAGGAGGACATGCTGGCTACATTAATATACTCATGAATGTGTGAACACTTTTACCAAATGTAGATTAATTTGTAAGGAAAAAGGATGTTAAGAGATGCAATTACAAGATCTAAGAACTTTAGGATGATCAAAATTTCTATAATGGAAAATGCTCCTAAATGATACAAATGAAGAACTGTAAAGAATATGATGCCTCAAGCTGTCCAGCCCATACCCACAAACCACCTGGGTGACACTCGTGAGTACCCTGCTAGAGGTTCAAATGTTCCAGGTAAGTATAAAACAAATGAACCTTCTACAGGTAAACAATCACTCCTCAAGGTATCATCATCCTTAATGATAGGATGTATACCTACGCTTGACTGACAATCACAAACAAGTAAGTTTGTGAAAAGTGATCAAATGGTCAAATACTGAGTAGTGTACCGTCACAGCAGGGTAGTCGTTATGATGAGACGAGGCGCGATGAATGTAAGAAAGTGGAGCGAGCGTTGGAGGGTCAGAGACCCAAGATGGTGGGTGGGGGGGCAGGCCTGACGGTGCGCAGGCAGCGGGCGGGCGATGGGCGGGCAGTGGGCGGAGGGTAGACGTAGACGGGCGGGGAGAAGAGGACACGTGAAGCGCATAAGGGCTGCCCGGGTGCCGCGAGGTGCCGCGCCGTAGGAGGGCCATCAGGCAACGTGCCGCTCACCACCACCGCCGCCATGCCTTGGCTGATCAGGGCCCAACACCTTATCCAACACTGGTAAACTCTACCACCCACTGACAGTAAAGCATGAACACTATGAAGGAGAACATGCTTCACTACCCAAGAGTGTCATTTGACTCACTTTATGTCATCAAGTTGCATCACCAGTGTAGGATCAGGTGATGAGTGGAAGGAGCCCCCACAGGGAGCTCCAACCTCCCCTACAACCCAATACTGGAAGCCCACTGTACAAGCAGGCTGATGCTAGCAGTGGTGGTGGTGGTGGTGGTGGTGGTGGAAGTACTTGTGGTGGTGGTGGTGGTGGTTGTGGTGGAGTTGGTGGTGGTGGTGTGGTAGCAACAGTAGGAGGAGTAGATGGTGGTGGTGGAACAAGAAGTAATTTGGGCGAGATAGTCCTGTAAATGGGCCACACACCACAATTAACAAAAAAAAATTTTAATTATAATTTTTATGCTCAAAAAGTAACGAGCTGCAATTTTGTTGACAATTAAGGCAAACAGTATTATATCCCATTAATCAATGTGTATGAACTTTCAAGATTAAAAATCATAATAAATAAATAAACTAAAAAATTAATTTCTATGACTAGTGTAGGGGAGCATCCCCAAACAAAGAAAACCAATGAAATACAAAGTGAGAGAATGAACTACAACTTCATCTTTTCTGCAATCTTAATTTAAAGCTTTATATAGACATTATAATAGAGCAAGGTACGTATGAAGTCATCAACTACAACTAAAAGTCAAAGGAATTTACGGAAACGCAAACCTCACCTCAAAGAGCTCCAGTCTAGCATCTACCCACCTTCAAAGAGTACATTAGTCCTAACAACCTACTTCAAACAACACCTCTGTCAAATCAGCTAAATCATTAAATAGATGCATTAACATCTGTCCCAGAATGCTTTCTTATAAATTATTTATATACATGGCAAACTTTGCATAGGTAAGACAAAATTTAAGATTACGATAAGCTTAATTATAATCAACAATTTAATGTCAATAACGTTCGATTGAGAAGGCTTATGATATTTTCTATAGCTATAACAACAAAATTATAACCACACAAAAAAAATTAAAGTGTAACCTCAAAACTTGTTAAAGATATATGAAATAAAGATGAAAAATATCAAAGAAAAATCAGGGCTGGTACTGCGATGCTATATTACAACCACCATACACAATACTTAACAATAAAATCAGCAAAGATTTATGAAAAAATGGACGAATGAGGATAAAAAAAAAATAATGGATAATAAAGGATATTCCAACCAACCTTTAAAATTCCTATCCATAACCCAAACACCTATGCCTTAATATCCCATGTAACTCATGGCCCAAAACAATGAAAATAATAACAAAAACAACAACCATAAAGATGGAGTCTATACCTGGATCGCCTGCTTCCACCTCGTCTTGAAGGAGAACGGTAACGGTCACGGCGTGAGCGGCCGGTGGACATCTCCACTCTCACACGAACACCACACAGTCGCCTGAGAAGAAACAATGCATATATTGATAGAATTTTTTATGGTAAAAATTTAAAAAAGCTGGACAATATATATATACACACACATAGTATTCACAAATGGGATGTAAGAAACATATTTTATGCATTTCAAATTAACATTAGTTAAAATAGTCAACTTCTAACAGCCCAACTTTGAATATCCACCAATTTTCAGTCTTCATAGACTTATTGTCACAATATATACTGTATTGGCCATGCTAACTTGGAAATTTTTTGGCAAGTTTCTCTTTAATAAACATTTTCTCTTGTATGGAAGGCTCTCCCTATCCTTGGGTTCATATCTTAACCAATCAAAACTATTTGTATAGTAACACGGTCTGCACTTGAGTACCGGTTCAACATCAGACCAAACACTCCCAAGCAATAACGAGCCATCATAAATTTTCACACAAAACTAAAATTAATTCACTGAATCTATGGAAAGTCAATGAATGGAAGCCAAATTTGTTACAGTTAACCCAATAACTGTACCATTTGTGAAGTTGACGGTACCCAATAAATGAAAAAAATATAAATAATTAATAAACTTTTCTCTTATGAAATTGAAGATATAATATTTAAAAGCCATAAAAACCATAAAAAAATTTGTACTCATCATGGGTGGCGAGTTATGAGTCTATGAAGAGGCGGTGAATAACTGGCAACTGTTGAGCTCTGGTTGTTGCTGTGGTGACAAACGACGTGGTTGTGGTGGAGCAGCGGAGGATTTTTGTGCTGCAAAGTGGGTGGTAAGCCCTTACATAGGTGGTGAGCCAGGCTGTGGTGGTGTGGGTGAGGGGCCACTGAGGACAGGTTGTGTTGGGGAGGTGATGAGGCATATACTGTACAGGATATTTCCAAATCAATCCAAGATGATGATAAGTTGATTTGAGGCTCCACCAGCCTAATGTCTCACTCAAGAGTGTCTACCAATCATCGACTTTCCATTCTTAACGTGATTTTTTGGCACACAGCTTTAAATTCATGGTGCCAATTGCCTTAAGATGACGATAGCGCGATTTCGGTAAATCATCTGAAGACGATGATGATAGCAGTTAAAGGGTAAAGCATCACTTGGCTGGGGATTAATACTATATAGTGAAACATTAAAATTATAAATGTGTAGTACAATTATTCAAAATAGGTAGCTCTGCTGGAGAGATTTATATCAACTACAGTATTTTGTTATTATGAAACTTACGTTCCATCAAGGGCCCGTACAGCATCTTCAGCATCCCTTGGGTCTTCAAATTCCACAAATGCAAATCCAGGAGGATTACGTGCCACCCAAACATTCACTAAAGGACCATATTTGGTGAACGCTGACTCCAATTCGTGCTTTGCGGCGTTGTTGCCAAGGTTGCCCACATAGACCTTGCAATCCATCCGCATTCTTCTGTGAAATACAGTAAGTAAAAATATACTGGTACCAGGAAGGCCACTGGAAACAAAAAAGTTTCTTTAGTACTCAGTCAGGATAATACAGCACACATTATGAAGCAGAACAGGGGTTAACTACAGCATTTCTTGACAACCTCAACATATAAAATGCTTGCATTTTGTGGTGAATGACAAACAGATCTACAGTATCAGTCTCCAAACCACTATTTTCCACCCTCACAGTTGGATGACAAAGTTCTATTCCTTCACACCCCTGTCCCTGCATCACTCCAGACTGACAACCCTCTTATCTATGTACTGTATGCCCTCACCTCATCAACCACCATGCACAGTACAGCTGACCCATAAACAGAATACCAGACTGTTGCTATTATAATACAGTACAGAATGTGTGATCAGTCATGTTATAATAAAAGCTAATTGAGTGGTCTTTTATTTAATACAGTATTTATTTTTTCTATAATATTGAAATTCACAACATAAATAAAGATTACAAAACTACAACTCTAACATAATGCTGCAGATACAACACAAATACAGTGCAGGGTATATTGATAAAAATGGCATAAAAAGTGCACACAATTCTTTTTACCAAGGCCAAATACTGCAGTTGCTTTCATGTGGAGTAAGTGAAAAATTGACAATAGAGCTCAACATATACAGGTTACAACAGTGAACAACTTCATGCCCAAAGGTCACTAAAAATGAATGGCAGCTGGGACAATGTCACTATACAATATCATGGTTACTTATAAATGGAGTTTTAGAAAGAAATAAAAAAAAGAACTGAAATCTACTTGATATTTTTTAATAAGTAAAAACTATGTATGTTTTGGAAAAGAACTATTTAAATGACCACTCTCTCTCCCTACATCATTAATTCAATAACTATAAAATACAAGTCCCCAGAAGAAGAATTACTGTACCATCACCAAGCACACATTCCTTCATCATGCTTTGACTTCTTCTACCATCACATCTTGGAAGGTCACACCAAAAATTTATTTGTATCCATCCGGTTATTTTCAAGGTCAATCAGGGCAAATTCATCAAATAAAGTTACTGACTAGAGGAACCAACCACTGTTTTATATCTACCAAACAAGACAGTACAGCAATCAGTACTTTGCATTGTATTATTCTTATGATATTTCCCTATAAAAATAATACCAATTTAGCAACAACAAATCCAAGATACTCATCATTTGACTTGTAACAATTGTGTACCAAAGATCTTCATCCCTGAAAAACATTTTTTTTTACAGGGCAGTATTTACCAAGCAACTGTATAGTACTTAATACTCTGAACACCCCCCCTCCCAGCCCATGAAAATAATCCAGCTACGACACTGTTGAACTGTCTTAACTTGACTTGCATCAGTTGACTACCAAAGATTTCCATCCTAAAAAAAAATAATAAATAAATAAATAAATAAAATAAATATAAAATAAAAATTATTTTTTGTTTACAACACCAATTCATTATTACAGTTCTCACTTCCTTCAATCTCAGTACCTACCTCTACCTAAGATTGGACACTTTAAAACAAAAAAACAAAAGTGGAAGCAAAATGGTAAAAATGAGACACGTTAAGAACTTTGGTTGGTGTTCCAAGTAAGGAAATAAAGTTATTGAGCAAATTATGAGCTAAGGATACTTCAAATTAAACTTCAGTTATAAGTAAGGTTAAGGAAGGGTAGGGTTAGGACAACTACTGGGTATATAAATCAAAACCTCCCTTTTACAATGATCACTCAACAACAACAAAATATAAGTGAAATCTCCTGGGGTATATCTAATTTATTAAAATATATATTTATGAGTTAAAAAGTGTCCACACATTAAAATTAAACTTACAAATATTTTAACAACAACAACAGCAATAATAATAATAATAATAATAATAATAATAATAATAATAATAGTAATAATAATACAATACAGTAATAAACGTACAAATATTTTAATGTCTAACACAGGAATATGAACATAGTACTACAAGGTAGCAGCTGTAATAGAACATTACCAACAAAAATTTGCATGCTCGAGTTAGTATACAGTACAGTTATCTACATCATACACCTATACTGTACCTACATACTGTAATAGGTATCTGGGCATCCCATAAAGGCATTTTGCTGTTGTGTAAGTAAAACTTTTGCTTACATACATAATGTGTAGTGTATATGTACAGTATACTATAGTATTCAGTACAGTTGACATCATCCACCTATACAGTGATCCCTCGGTTAACGAGCGCCTTGGTTAACGAGATTTCGGTTAACGAATTACATTCCATAAGATTCTTAACTTCGGTTAACGAGCAATCCCTCGATTAACGAGCTTTCAACGAGCGCCCCTCCACATATTTTCGCTTGCATTTGGCGGTCCACCAGCTGTAGTATTAGCCCGCCAATACAGTAATCGGTTCTAGGGCTTAAATTCCTTACTATTTTAATAAATATCAAGAAGTTTGTACTATTCAATAATTTTAAAAGTTATATATTAAATTTTTTAGTAATTTTAAGAATTATTGAACATAATTGAAGTACAGTATAGGAAGATAGTTTTTTGCGCGCCAAACAGCCTGTCAACACACCATACAGGCGTCAGTCTCTGTGTCTTTTCAGTGGAGGTAACATCTTGCTCGAGACTCTCTTCAACTTAAACGCCTTTTTTCTGTGTTTCCAAGCAAATTATTGGTCAATTTGAAATTTATTTTACATATTGACAATATATAATGCAGTGCAGTGTTGATTTTAAGAAAATAATCTTGTATTACACCAAGAAAACTAAAATTTTATGGGTGAAATGGAACCATGGGGTGACTTCTCTTCCACACCAATGCCTTCTCTTCTCCCTTCTCCTCCACCCCCATTCTAATTCCCATTATCATCATCATCATCATCATCCAGGAGCCTTCTACATACACACCTCAAAGTAAGTGTACTTTACTACCTTTTTGTTGATTTTAGGCAATTTTCGGTGACGTGGAACCAATTACCCAAAAACCCATTGAAACAATGGTTTCGGTTAATGAGTTTTTCGGTTGACGAGCAACCTTCTGGAACGAATTGTGCTCGTTAACCGAGGGACCACTGTACAGTATTTCAAGCAGAGTATCACCCTCATTTCACACTAGGTACAAAAAGCCTATGCAGCTACTGCAAAATCTTTTGAAGCAAATAACACAACAGTACTGTATAGAGAAACAACTGATGAGGCACAGAGAAATAGGCATACTATTGGTAGAGAAAATGAGGGACAGGACAATCTGAAGAAAAAAGTAATACAAAAAATAAAAGAAAACAAAGCTTGATTAACAAATACAGAGCAGCCCATGAAAACACACACAGAATAGTTCCATTGAATCGTTGAAGGTGACTGGAACATACAGAAGTTAAAACAGCAAGCACAACACAGGTACAAATTGGAACAATAAAGGCACATAAACTGTAGTGGAGTTATGAGACAATATTGAAAATGATGATCTACTATACAATGAGAGGGCAATAAGCAAGGAATACAGAAGCAAACACAAACCATCACCAAGGACCTCACAGCATACATACTGTATTTGTATAACTTTCTCAAATTTGACCTGCCATCCCAATACTGTACCCTTACTTGTGGGTGATCAATTTTGGCTTCAAGCATTCTTGCTTAATCAGTCTATGTATGAGGAAATTAAGCTGACAAAGCAAATGTGGACAATGATATTGCAACTTGTCCCCAGTAACTATGATCTAATAAAATACCCTGTACTGAACTTGTGTTGGAAATTAAGGTCCAACTACTGAGCACATTAGAACAAAATATCAACAAATCTTCAGTTAATTTAGAGACTCAAACATAAAAGTAATATAATGTAGTCTATGGTTCTGTTCACCTCTTAGTACAAAGCAGACATCAGGGTGATATAAATTACATTGCACTGCACTGTATATTGAACGTTTGCTTTCTTAACAAGCTGGATAAGTCTCAAGAGTTAACCATGAGGTTGATTATCAACACAAATAGACAACAACTTGTAGTTAAACCAAGTTATTACAAGCCTAATAATGACAGGATGTACAAATATTACATATCTTTAACCAGTTTGCAGTGAGAAAAAGAACATGTGGAAAGGATGAGGACAGCATCAGGAAGCATACACGAAAGAAGAGTGTAGAAAAGCATGAAACAAGCACAAGTATGGGGAAACAATAAAACTATGGCTGACGATGGGGATATGCCAATACTTGAAGGGTCTACATATTTGATATCAAGGAAGTGTGGAAGCCCACCACATGATGTTAGAGTCAATGTAAACAAAGAAAAGAACCATCAACAGGAATAAGGGCACCATCCTTCCTTCTCCCATGGGGAGACCAAGGCCAACTGGTCTACAACTAGGATGTTAAAGCAAACTTTTGCAGAGCTTTCTGAAAAAGTGAGATCCAGGGATAGCACAGTAGCCCATAGAATATATAAAATTCCCTCTAGATCTTCCTTCCACCCCGTGAGAGCAGATGTGACCCAAGGATTAGCATGCAAATTAACAATACACATCAAGTTCTCCCAAATCCGAACCATTGTCAAAACCCGAGAAGAAAGCTTTCCTAAAATGATTCAATACAATAATTTCTCACTTTGGTGTGTAGTTGCTGACTCCCTCCATTGTTGATCAAAAGCTCCAAGATTCAAAATGCCAACATCTGTTGAAGGGAATATAATTGCTAGAAAACTGCTTCTTAGCTCAAGATTAGCAATGCTAACAAACAAAATACTGTACAGTACTGTAGTCAAAAGAAGCTTTAGAGTAATGAACTTGATATTGGGGGAAAATAAACCACCTAAATCCCAATTACCCTGTAAGTAAACTGGTGGAGCCTGTACCCAGGCCACTCACACAACAAAGGACAATATACAAGAGGGAACCTGGTGTTCTTAGGCAAGCCCCCAAGATCTAAGTCAAATAAATCTCCTGATCCATTTGGAGATACTGTACTGTATTGTACCAATCAGCCTTCCCTCCCCCTCAAATGTGAGAGAAATGGTGAATCTGAGATCTTTAATTCTTGATCAATCTGTGTTTGTTCAGTTTCATCTGACTATTTATAAACTCAGAGGAGGGAGTTTCTAAGCCACCTGGCAATGGGCTCCCCCAAATAAGGGGATTTTAGGTTCAATCCTCCATTTCTGGCTGCTGCCCTTAACCCAGGTGACTCAATCTTAAGCCAACGAAGTCTTACAAAAGCTCTAGGATAAGATGTACACCTTCTATATGTGTTGACCTATTGTATTCACACTGCCAGGGAGTTAATATTGTAGTGTACTCCACAACTCTCCTACTGAACAGATCAGCTGTTACCCCCTAATAAAATGCTGTCAGAATCCAGAGGCCCAATCAACAATGAAATGTATACGTATTGTGCAGGTCTGAAATGAAGATTGGAATTACTGATAGTAACTCAAAGAAGGAACCCAAGAAGATTCCATTCCACCACCAACTCCCCTCCCTATGAACCACAACCAAACTTAAATTTCTCTGTACTGTATGTCTTCAAAAATTTGGGAAAATAATTTCTAAGCCAAGACAGCTGAAAGAATTATCTCTCTCCTCAACCTCTGAAATAAAAAATAGTAAGGAAATTGGAAAAGGTTTGAGGAAAAGTTAATTAGGAAAAAATAAATAAAATAAAATAAATAATAATAAAAGATCACACCAAGTCATAGTTGATCCTGTAGACTAAATGATTCATTGGGATCAAATTTAATATGTCATACCCTGTACTGTACTAAAGAACTATGTAAGCCTTTTGGACACAAGGTCATACACTCTGTATTTACCAAATATTCCTCACCCAAACAAAATGTTAGGTCCCCAATTTAAAGCTGGGTTCACTGTAGATGCCCTAATCACCAATCAGCTGTGATATAGAAACTGGCAGCCCACTTGCTCCCAAAGATACTTTCTAGCGGGATCAACCGCCTAATAGAGAATAAATCTAAGGAACACATCTATCACTTCATCCCCATACAAAGCATTTATTTAAACTGTCAAAGGTACATTTAGTGGGTATAGCAACAAAAATCTCTTGCTGCTTAACAACAGTACTATACAGTACTGTACATTACTCTCTGTAAAGGGGACATAGGGAAAAGATCTAGATAACTGTACTAGTTAATGCTGAACAGGTAAAGGCAGACAATGTCCACAAAATCAGATTCCTTTCATTAATGCAGTCTCCTTAATGCAGGGGTCCTCGTTATCCGAGTCATCAATATCCAGGGTTTCGCCTTTATGGGGCAAAATTATTGCTGAACTACGTAAAACGTTTCCTGCTGTAAAGACGCTCATCCCCCATACCCCTGCTGCCCACTTGTTCTCAGTTGTTTTGCTTAGTGTAAGCAATGCCTAACCCCCCAGGGGTTTCTCTTTTTTTTCAAAATTCTTGAAAAATCATTGCTATTGTTCTATCCATGAATTCAACTCATAATGTTAGTGCTAAATTAAGTGTCACCCCTAAAAGGAAGGATAGCAGCTATGGATAGAATGTAAAACTAGATGTTATTCATTGGAAGAAACGTGGTGAGTATGATAGACATCTCATGTGCTCTTCAGATCCCCGAGTATAAATGATAAAAGGTATAAAAAAAAAATTATTTTGCGTGTCATTTAGAATTTTATGGGATCAATCAAACTGTATTCCCCTAATTTCTTATGGCCAGAAATTCCTTGCTTTAAGGGGCAATTTTCCGGTCCCTATTAGCTTCAGATAATGAGGACCATGTACAGTACAGTACTATGGGAAAAAGAAAAGAAGCTTCATCATCTTATAAGGAGGCCATTTCCCCTTTGCTTGAAAATGGAAATGAATAAAGTCAGATGCACCTTTCCACAATGATAATCCATCATGTAGTGGCAATTCTCAACGTGTTCTGTGTTCTTCCACCACTTCAATACAGCAAAGTTTCTGCAGAGAAGATACGGTACCACCAAATCTAAAGGCTTCATAGATTGGTCAAACCTTACCTGACCAGTTCCAGCAAAAAAATCCCAGCCCCACAACTTGAGCTATATACAGTACATCAAAACCTTACCATTCACTCGCAGTCTTTAAATAACCTCACTGAGAGGAATAAAAACCAATCACCATAAAAAATGAGCCAAACTTCTCAGTAGGAAGGTGAAATAAATTTTTCTAATATCCAACAGAAAATCTAGTCCACATAATTGATGAGGTGCAGCTTAAAGTTTATCATTTTCTTATGAGATATGTGGACCGTATATGAGTAGCCCCCAGCCAGATGGGAACAAGCACCAAACAACAAAAACGTCAGAAAAAGCAGTTAAACCTTTCTCATTGTCATTAAGGGCAGTAAGTCACCTTAGACTTATACGATTTTGGACCCTATAAACTCTGAGCCAGAGAGGCACGAAAGCCACGGACAAAAAGAAGATGCAATGAGGTATGTGTAGAGACCAAAATTGACTTCTTGTGCTGGGTGGCACTTGTTAACATCTGGGGGCTACTCATATGTGCTCAGTTAAGACCAATACTGTATACAGTATATCCCATGAAATCATTAAAAGTGTTTAATGGTGATCCACGTTATGGTACTACAGTATTTCAATTGGAAAGGGAACACCTTAGATGGGAATAGACACATCCAATTATATATATATGCAAGTAAATCACTGTAGGTGCATGTGATCCGGGTATATGCTGATACCACAAGGAAAAAGAAAATACCAAGTTCCCAAGCGCTTTCGTGTAATTCACATCTACAGGGGTGAGTACAAACTAAAGATGATTATGTGAAGATGTGAATTACACGAAAGCGCTTGGGAACTTCGTGTTTTCTTTCGTGTTTTCTTTTTCCTTGTGGTAATCAGCATATATATATATATATATATATATATATATATATATATATATATATATATATATATATATATATATATATATATATATATATATATATATATATATATATATATATATATATATATACACACAAAGCCCTTGTAAATAAAGTGTCGGAAGGTGTCCTTCAATTCAATAAATCATACTGTACAGATCAAATTCAAACTCTTGAAATTCAACCTCATTCAATGATACTATTTGTGAGTGGCTTCTGATCCACAGTAAACATGTACAGTACAGAACTGTACTAAAAATTGTGAGTGACCACTCATGTCTCAGGAGCATACTGCACGTGTTGCCTTATAGATGAACAACTTACCAGCTACAAATTTCTCATGGACCTTCAATTTCTTCCCAATATGGAAATATATTAAGTGACAAAATTCTTATCTTCCAACCCTTTGACAGGGAAATACACAAATATTGCATCATAATTACTCTATCTATGATTCAAAGCATTTAGCCTACAGTACCATGTGTAACCTTGCATGTTATCAACAATGAAGTACAGTACTTATTTTTAAAACTCTACAAGAGTTCATGATTTTCTTCTTTGGTAATCAAGGGCACGATCAAAATCCATATCCACCATGGTTTGCTGAATATTCAAATTTACCTTTTAAACTTGAATACACATACAGTACAAGAATTATCTCAATGAATCAATATAATTATATAACCACAGAAATGAGAACAACACTGAACAGCATGCAGAAACTATCAACAAATTGATGTACTGTACCAGTAAGTTATATGACCACAATTATGAGTACAACATTGAATGTATTGTATGCTGAAACAGGCTCTGAATTAACCACTCTTTTATTCAACAAATATATTCTAGTGGTACTGTACACAGAAAAAAATTAAAGGCCCCATAGACCATTAATCAAAAACTGGTTAAGATTCGGAAAAGGTCTACCACGGAACTTTACACAGTACAGTAATGATATGGTATTTATATAGATAATTATTATTTTTTATATTACGTGTCCATCGCAAATTTATATTTTTCAATTACTTTAGAGTTTTTGATTCAACTTAAGGCATTACATTTAGGTGGGAGACACTGTTAATGTCTTACTCACATAACTGTATGTCCTACCAATCAGCATTGCTCTCAGTGACGCATGCTACTCCTATACGTGCTCAGAGCTTTGGAATTTGCTTGGCAAATCACTTCCTTGAGGGGAGGGGGGGAGACACACCATTCATTGTGTCTTTGAAAATGACATTTTAAGGCTCATGGTATTCTGTTGCCTTCTGTGAGGTGTGCAGTGTGTTTCAGACTCACTATCATCAAGATAAGAACATTTGGTTTTGTATTAAAAGACGGAAACTCACCAAGACACAGAAATCTCCCCACAGCAGTACAGTACTTGGTTGAACAAAGTACAGTACTGTAGCTACTAGTAGCATCAATTTATCCTCTAGCATCTGATAATCATTGTAAGTTAGGTTTGGTTAGGTAAGAAAAAGTTTTGTGTTTTACCCCACAATATCCTACAGTACTTCACAACAAGCCCTGTCCACTTTGTGTAATCAAAAGTGTTGATAGGAGAGGGGGAGGGATGAAGGAGACTCAATTAAAACACCACAAAATACACTAGAAAAACCTATTCTTGTTAGTAGTTGATGGCTGGTCCTCTCGTCTGCTGGTTCCCAGGTGTAGTGACCTGCCATCCAGGAAAGGTGCAAAGGGCTATGCGCCCTCCACTGCGTATCATGAAATTCTGAACAAAACTGTACATAGGGAAATAGCAACTAGGCTGTGACTTCCACACCTTTAGAAAACTGTCAAAACCATCACTGAATTATGTACTGCATTATCTAAGCATAAAGAAAGAATTTAATAATGTTAAACTTGAGCATATATTGCTGTGGTTCTTTCCTGCTATAATCAGGAATAATTTCAGATATAATTTTTGTAAATTCAGCAAATGAGTGGAGGAAAGCCTAGTTGTCATGGTACAGTACTTGTCAAGGTCCAGTAACATCCTTTCTTTAGGTGTCACATTAATTTATTTAACAATATTTTTCTCTAGATAAGGGTTTATAATTACTTCACTTGTCATTAACCTCCAGGAAAGTAAAAAGTATTTTTCTCTCGTTCTCACCACCTGTGCACACTTGCAACGTCAGCCAGTAAAGGGGGAGATGGTTAACACCAGAAGGACTTTATAGAATTGCACCAAATTTTCAGATGTTTGCATGATGCCGAGTAACAAAATCAAAACGACAACATTGTAATATTTTTGTTTCTTTTTAGTCGATCCTTTGATCATAAATTACAGTACTTGTTAGGGGGCAGGGCATGAAAAGATCGAAAGAACAGGGTAAAAACACTGCAAATAAATAAATAAATAAATAATGCAATTGTGACGTCAGATCTCCCATGGCAACCAAATTTTGATTCACATGGTCTGCTTATGGGAGTGTCCGCGGTCTTTGTTTACATGTTAAGAAACAAACCACGATCTCATCAGGCATGTTTAGTACAATTTATATTGAATTCGTTAATTTTTTTCTAGAGATGTTTGGATGATGGTAAGAAAATCGAAATGACAATACACAGGTTAGGAAGTTAGGTCAGGTTCTAATAGGTTCTGTGCATTCTCGTTTCCAATTTTCTGTTCAGTATCATGCAAATAGTACCTCCACAAATTTTGGTTCAATTCCATAAGTTATTTCTGGTGTTAACCGTCTCTTCCACCTTTACCCTTCAGCCAATGAACAAGATATTTTAAACCAACAGTCATTACTTCAACAAAAAAAATCTTCTGAAGAAATTTTTACAAAACATATGTGACCATCAATGATGCTTCCTTCTGTTTAAAACTGACATAAAATAGGCAGTGGACATTTTACCACGCCCGGTAAGTTCCTAATAACGCTATTTTACCGTGCGTGCGCTATGATTGGCTAATCAACCATTATCGGCGAACAACATGAGAAGTATATTAGACCACGACTCTGGCAGTATTTAGCATTTCGCTGCGAGTCGATTGCTGTGTAGCTGTAAACCTACCTAACCTTACCAACTTCCTAGCTGGGGGGCAAATAGTACTAAGCCAACCAAAGCACACTAATGCTAAAATAGAATTACAGTAGTTGGAACTTAGCCGGTCACAGTAAAATACCCACTATGTATAAAATATTAATATTTTAATATTTGACATCTACATTGGTCTTATAAAATGGTATCAAACCAGCTTTTCTACAACAAAAAATGAAAAAGAGAGAGAAGAAAGTAAACTACAATATTACCAAGATTTATAATCCAAACTGGCTTTGTTTACATGACCATGGCATTTAATGTGGAAATATAATTTGTCTTTACTCCCCGACTACCATAGTACATGCACTGTTATTTCTGCAGTGTTCTCTTATAAACTTGGATGTAAAATTTGGGCTAGATCTGTAGGATGTTGACTCCCTGAGTTATACTGGGCCCTTTAACTCGGTAGGTTCCACAGCAACAAAAATAAACATTAGGAAAACACTAGTAACCTTATCTTATGCTGTCAGTACATTTCATGGTACCCATACATAAATAAACATCATAAATTCTGAAGGCTACATTTTACACCATTCATCACAGTGACTTCTTTAAATGAATGTCAGCCTAGCCTCGATACATACATGACCCATCAACTCCACCCCCTGACGTGACCACAATGTGTAAAACAAAAATTAGTAATTTAGCTTAGTGCAAAACATACAGCAGAGCACAATATATCTCATACACTCCTAGCTGGCATGGCACTGAGTCGCCCCCGCCATGATGGTGATCGAACACAGACCATCCCAGCTGGAGTTTTCCTCTTACTTTTCACACTAACTGTGAACGTATAATTAATAAGATAACACATTAGTCACCCTCTATGACAAACCATAAGACAGTACGACTCGTACAGACATAAAAGAGACTTACTAGTGAAGGACTTGGATGGTAAAATAGACGAGCGTCAGCTCCACAGTCGTCTAGATCAGGAATTTTCAACTGATGACGTCATCTTGTGAGCTGCGCAGTGCATACAATACGGATGCTGAACATTTAATTCCTGTAAATTAATTAATCTCAAAATTTATATGTAAGTTATTAATATTGAGTATACAAGTCTCCACAATAAAATATTACACCAAATTAAGCTTGTTTTAAGAATTTATTATTTTCTGTGATAACTATGAACTTCACATTCTCTCGTTTGTGTGGAATGAGCTGCGCACTGTGGAATGGAGGAATGTATAATCCGTTACCCTCCTTTAACATTTTCTGTTCGGTTCGTTATTTGTTAGATCAAACTGTAACTTACTTATACTTTATTATGATCTTATAAAATATTTACTTTTATTTATCGATTTATCTGCGCTCTTCTTTTTGGTTAACCTGTATATTAATTCATCTACCTGTTTGACTGGTAGACTTAGTATAACTAGATTATTCTATCTAAATATTAATCTATTAGTCTGTTTATAGTAATCTAGATAACACATTTCTCTTCCAGTCTTTCATGGCCTCTTTTGTACTTCGATCCAAATGATATTGTGTACGGCTTAGTTTACTGTACTGTACTTAATTTAATAGCCTATCATTTGATTTACATCTAGTCGAGTAAAACTTATTTACCACTGACTTACTACCTCACAAATTTATTTTTCTAAAGCCAGTCGTCACTATATCGCTGCACTTTCTGGACCCTACAGTGATCTACAGAACTTAACGCTGACATAATCTTATCTCGGCTCGTAAGTCTAAATGTATTTTGTGTGTGTGTGTGTGTGTGTGTGTGTACGTTTCCCACAATTTGGTTGGTGCTAAGTAAGGGTTTCCTGTTCCCTTAAGGTAGTCGCCCTTTGGACCAGTGCTAATGAATATGATGTATTTCTTTGTGTACGAACCTCTGTCCTGCATGGCAGTGACCAGTGACATCACCCACATGACTAACCTACAGTATATACTGCTACTGAATATGATGTATTTCTTTGTGTATGAACCTCTGTCCTGCGTGGCAGTGAGAAGTGATACCACCCTCAGTGTCAAGAACTGACTGAATTACTCAGAATAGGCAAGCATGAACTTATCATGCTTCCCTGTTGGGCGCTGTAAACGCTTCATCTTACACAAGAATGTAGAGGGGGATGCCCAATAAGAAAAAAAAAGGCAAACTGTACTCCAGACTTTGTCAATAAATTTGTTAAACTAAAAAAAACTGAACCTGGACCGAGGTAAGAAAAGTCCACTAGCTGACTAACAGAAACTTTCTTGGCGTCCTCTTAACCCTTAGGTATTTTATTCTGGCTAATGCTAGACGATTTTATTCAGCTGAAAGAAACCCCTGCTCTCTATAGGGTTAAGTTGTGTTTGACTGCGTGTCTACTGAGGATTTGCTGCCCATTGGGCGTAATTAATTAATTAAAAGATAGTGTGACGTACAATTAATGGAGTTTCAGTATTAGCTATTTCCAGCTCTAAATCTTTTTACTTTGATCCAGGGATCATTCTTATTATTATTTTAATTCTCAACAATTTTCTACTTGTTATTCATATTAATTTCAAATTCTTTCAGTTTTTATTTTCCTTTTTCCCCTTATTCATATTTTTTCTTCTTTTTAGTAGCTTCGTTTCTTCATATTTTTCAGCTGTTCCTTCATTATCATATCCCCATTAATATTTTCTTTTAATTTATTAATTTTAATTTTATTATCATTATGACTTTTATTTCTCCTTTGACCTATTCTTGTTTTCTTTTTTCTTCTTCATCGCCCTTTCATTTCTGTTCCTATAGTGAAGACGTGCTTAATCTTATAGTTTATTTTTACCTTTTATTTTCCCTCTTCTTGTTCTACTTAATCTCTAAATTTTAATTTTTCATCTCCCTTAATTGTAATATAATATAGCATCATAACTAAAAGAGATCATCAAGCCTCACCCATTGAATACCACAAGACCTATTGGTAACCTTTGACCCCTGTAAAACGGCCATAAACACATAGCAAATTCATCTTAATGTCGAAGTCTAAGTTAATTCAATGACGCCAGAATTATGGACCAAAAACACAAAATATTTATAGCAACTGAAAACATTTATATCAAAAGTCCATAGATATTTATACCTATATTTAAGACTTGTGGTAATGTGCCTTTTGCACCAAGTTCCATGAAATTTAGTTGAATTATGGTAGAATAATGAACTAACGGACACAGGAGTAGTGTACTCTAAATTTTGTCTTCAAGGGAGCATTTTTTGCTAAGGTAGAGTATTTGTATTTTAATTTCAGGCAATCAAGTGAATTTCTACATTTTCATTAGTTATTCGATATTCGGCATTATAAGAATCTGGGCAAGGTCTGTGATGAAGGTTAGTAATTTAGTAAACAACTGAAGGTGATGAAGCCATAGCACTGCGGGTGAAGTAATCGAGGCTTTGATCATAATGTTAAAGGGGGTAATGGTGATGTCTTTAATATCACCACCATTAATAATAATAATACTAATAATAATAATAATTCCTACAAAATATAAATAAGTTAATAAATAAAAATACTTTAAAATGCATAAAAAGGCACCCTGTAAATTCATTCCTTGTTTTTTTTCATCCACAAACTTTTAGTAACCCCGACTTGTGCAGCACTCAGCTTCACCACAGCACTCACACTGCCCGAGAGACACTGTAACATTGTCTGGGTCCAGCGGGGGTTTATTTCGGTGGTGATGAATCTTGCATGTGCAATCTTGCTTTTTTGTAGCGCTGGGAGAAATGTCGCTTGTTACTGCTGCTGATACTGGCCGATGCCTTCCCTCGCTGTCCAGGCTTTATTCTTTTTTTTTTGTCTGGCTTTATCCTTATTTTCAAGTTTTATCCTCAGTGTAGTTTTATCCTTGTTTAGTTTTATCCTTGTTTAGTTTTATCCTTGTTTAGTTTTATCCTTGTTTAGTTTTATCCTTAGTGTGTAGCTTTATCCTTTTTGTCAAGTTTGATCTTATTGTCCAGTTTTATCTTTATTATGTAACTATTTATTGTCTAACTTTAGCCTTATTGTTTAACTGGTGACCCGCTTTATTGGTCGGATATATCTGTATTGTCCAGTTTCGTCATTTTTGAACAAGTTTAGAATATCAAAGACAAAAAAGGTACTATCAAAGGCGCTACATAATTCAGTGACCAGTGACCGTGATAAATATTATTTATGTCCAGTTTACCAATGCTTTGGTGTATTCTGCACTGATAATTTTTATTTTATATTCTCAATTATGCGATATATTAATGCATTTGAGAATAAAATGTCATATAATGCAGATGTGAGAGTTTCACGCCCAATGTGACGCATGACAACATTGATCTTGTCTACCTTTAAGGTATGTGCAAGTGACGTCTTTAAGCGAGTAACAAACTTAGTACATTAGATTAATTAAGAGACAACACTATTTTATTCTTTAAAGGGAGACAGGAGTTCATATTTTCAAGAAAAGGATGTAGTGTAGATATTAAATGTATTTTCATGCAACCTACACATCTCTACGTCATCCGTTAACTGTTTCAGTGTTTTTATGTTTTACTGGAAACAGTTATGGAAACCTTACCTCAAACTCGCCATACAGGTACACACCAACGTCAGTCGCCACCACAGCTGTCCCTGCCTCACTGTGCTGCCGCATCTTGCAAAATTAATAAAGTTGTCGGTTACAAGGTAGGAGTGATGGCGTTCATGCCTGGCCGTAAAAAGCGCTGTGGTATTCCATGGCGTGCACACATACACACATGTTCATACACTGAAGAAAATATATGAAGTTTGCAATGAATATCTGATGCATTCCACTGATATCAGAGTTCTTTTAATTATAATTTAAATGTAATTTTTTCGTCACTATCGATCACCGTGATGCCAGCTGGACCGAGTACGACCATTATTGAGTGGGGGCTTACCGCCTGTCAATGAGTTGTTGTTTACTGCTATCGCTGAGCTTCAACATCGGAAAAAAAGAGAAATCCTGGATGCACTGTTGATGATACTACCTACTGCTGTGATGAAATAATAGTTGTTGTTGTTTGTTGGAATAACAATAATAATAACAAATAAAAGTAGACTGGGTAGGGTAAAAATTTATATTTTTCATATACAATACTGTATAGTGTATACTGTACTTTGTTCAAGAGCACTTATAAACCCGAAGTAAAAAACCCACATTAATAAAAGCAATATGTCTGAAACCGTTCGTTGGGATGGGGTAGAGGGGTGTGTGACGTTAGTATGGGAAAACAAAATGCACACATGAAGGGAATGCGGTAAAAAAAAAAAGATAAATCCTGTGAATGTAATTACTGTAACAGCCTTTAGTAATAATGATACTTATGGCGAGATGATGACAATAACATAATTCTAATGTGGGCCTTTAAGACAGTAGGGAGTTGGGCGGATATGAGATAGTCTATCGGTTATTACAATAGTCATTCTTCAAGGTATTTGGAATAACCTAATTATATCCTAATCTCTTCCTATGTATCTATATCCACCTCTCTCTTTTTTCTTTCTTCCTCCAAGCCAAGACCATAAAAGAGCTAACGTTCCATTTACGTAAAGTTATTCATAAGGGGAAAAATGGTGAATTAAAGGAGATTGGATACCTTGTCTCGCTCGTGCCCAGAGGTTCTCACCTCACGACAAAAACGAATACGACCCCATTTCATCCCGGCACAGGTTGGGTCCGACGAATGAGACCGTATATTAATTCACTTTAGAAGACAATGTAGCCAATTGCGGTTCGAAGGGTTCAGTTGGACCCACCGTAGTGCATAAGCGGGTGGTTCAAAGGTTCAGTTTTAGTACAATGCTATTTTTGGAGACGTTTACAATATACGTACAGTATTATGTCTATAAGTCAAAACATCTGTGCCATGTTAACTTTGAAGCTTTAGATTGATTCCTAAAAATTGATTAGAGATCAACTGAGGTTCAAATTTGGCAGGATATATTACCCAAAGACATACTACAAAACCTACTTCACACATACACACACGAGCTCCAAGAACAGTACAGTATAATAACTTTGAATACCTGAAATG